TTCCTTGCAAAGTTGAAATCCAGTGGTAAGCAAAGGAAGCAGCTCTGGTTCATTAGTTTGGGGAAGATTAAGGATAAGAGTGTTGTATTAAAAAAGGAAGTTTGAAATGCAACAACTGTTGTGTAATCTCCAATATTTATAGTTAAGGTGTTGTTCCTGTAAAGGAATAATTCAGGATGAGGAGTAGTCTTTACTTAGAACCTAAGCTAGAATAGGGAGCGCCAATCCAAATTGCTGTCAAGTCAGAGAGCTGGGCATCTTCAATTTTGTGAACACTATTTGGCAGCATTTTGCTGTATGCAACTTACCAGGGGTAAAAAAAAAGCAACTTCCATTGTCCCTCTAACCAGTGTCTTACAGAACTAAGCTTGCTCACTACAAATAAACAGGGGCACAAAGATGAAGTGTCCACCAAATGGCACACCCTTGGGTCAGCATAATGACCACTTAGGTTGTAGAGAAATCCACATGATTCATGAGGCCCTTAACTAAACACATTAAGGAACTATATATTACATTTTCTCGGAGTCACAATAAGTGCTTTAAATAGTAATCAGGAAGGAGAGGTTGAAACATTGGTCTCAGACTGGCCTTTCTCTCTCTGTGTCTCTCTGTCTCTTGCTCTCTTTCATGAAGATAAAGTGTCAGTGTGTAATCCTCATCTTTTGAGGAAAATTAAGTCCCCAAGGAAATAAAGGCTACTAATTTTTCATTTAAATCCAAGGATGGCTTGGATGGACCTAATACACTAAGATGCTTATGTGAACGTCACAAAATGGATTTAAATGATAGGAGTTAAGGGGGGAAGAGAGAGGGAGGGAGGGTGGGGGGCGGAGAGGGGTGAGGGGGAGGGGGGGAGAGAGAGAGAGAGAGAGAGCTTTATATGCTACCAAGGGATGACTTGTTTCTCAGATGGAGGCTGCTCTGTCAGGCCGCCTCTGTAGAGCCACGTTGTCTTCTCTCTGGAAGCGGAAGGGAGGGCTGCAGGGCCACAGCTGGGCTGGGCTCCAGCTGGTCAGCGATGTGGCACTGCTGCTATTGTTGAACAAAATTCTTTCCTCCTTACACATCTCTCTTCTCAATTTAATAGAAAGTACAGTTCTTGGCATTTTTCTCTTCATGAACTTGAAGGAAATGAGAAACAAGAAGCTTATTTTCTTTTCATTTAACTAGGGGATATTTGCTGAGTTTATAACTTGAAATCACTTTACATAAAATTAATTCTTAGAACACAGAGAAAAGAAACAGAAATTTGATGAATCATATAGAATGAGTTGCAAGCAGAATCCATAATTTACCAATGGAGAAGTCCATTAGCACTGACAGGCTGTTTTTAATGGACTCTAATTCTATGGTGATTTGCTTTAAATTAGTTGTGTGAATTTAATGATCAGTCTAATGTTGTTCCTACCATATATGTTAAGGGAAATTTCTGAAATTTGAACATTAATCTTTTGGGGACAAATTATTAAAATCTTGACATGGACAGAAATGTCTTTTGACATGGACAGAAGAGTCTTTTTGATCCTCCTTTCTTTTATCTGTAAACTAGGGGTAATATTTTCTTAACCTATGTCCATATAAAAATGAACAGACCCACTAGTTATGAATTTGTCAAATAGCTCTTAAAAATTAAATGAGAAGACACTGCAAATCATAAATCAGTGATTCTCCACTGGGGTGGGGAAAGTGGATATATAGGGATGGTCATTACTTAGGTTTTTAACTTAAAGAAAACGGCAGCCAGATGTGAGGGCACCAATTTGTGATCTTTTCCCCTCAGATGTAGTTTCTGATGCTTCTGGTCCCTGGTTAATATGATCCCAAATATGACTGAATTTTGCATGGTCAATTTTCATTGAGTTGGCACCCTAGCTTGGATAATTCAGGCTAAAACAAAAGCAAAAGCAAAAAGCAATCCAGTGTATGCCAGAAGTAAAACTAAAAAAAAAAAAAAAATTTCTAAAAAGCAGAACCTGTAGTCCACATTCCCTAGAGCATGGTGTTTGAGGGTCTGGCTCAGTGATTCTTAAAGATGGTTCCTGAGCCAGTCGAATTGGCATCAACTGGGAAATCAGAGACAGAAATTCAGGGTCTCTTCCCCAGATATACTGAAACAGATTCTCTAGGGGCAGGGCCTAGGAATGTGTAGAAATAAGCCCTCCAGAGGTTTGGGTACACCCTGAAGTTTGGGAACTATGGATTGTGTCTAATCCTCTTGACTACTTGGTCCTATCACCTGTTCGAACAATTATAATTATTGTTTCCCAGCCTCTACTTTTCTCTCCTTTTAATCCCTGCTTCGCATTGTCACTAATTAACTTCCTAAAGCACCATTTTAATTAAGCCATTCCTTCTCTCAAAATGTGGCAGTGGCTCATTATAACCTGCCACAGATGCTTATACATATATTGTAGCTAAAAGGAGTCCAACCAACTACTAGTTTTATGAAAGAGGCTATTTGGGGGCTGGGAAAGAGGGTGGGAAACTTGGGCAAATCAGGTGCTAAATCATGAACATTATATCAGCATATTTATATCCAGTTAAAATGTGCCCATGGTAGCTTTGGGGAGAGATGAAGGAACTACCACAAAAGGAAACCATTAAAACTGGGGTGTTTAAAAGGGGCAAAAAGTCTAGGATCCAAGTCTATTGAGTTTTTGTCACTTGGGATAGTCAAGCCCCTTTTTACATGTTCTTGGAACTAGCTCAGAGGTATACTACTTTGCTAGGGCTGCTGTAGCAAAGTATCAGAAACCGTGTGCTTCGGTCAACAGAAATGTATTATGTCAAAGTTCTAGAGACTAAGTACAAGGGATTGGCAGGGTCCATTCCTTCTGAGGGTGTTTTGAAACCATCCCCGGCTGGGTTGGTTCATCATCGGTTCAGGAAGCTTAAAGGAGAAACTTGGAGCCCTTGGCAACATTCCCTCAGGTTTCTTTTCTTTTTTTTTTTTTAGTAACCTTTTTTTTTTTATTGGATTCATTTTTTTAAAATAAATTTTATTTTTATATTCCCCATACAATTGCAATCCCCTTATTTTGACCCCAATCCCTCCCCCCCCCGCCCCCCACCCCCCATAGAGTGTCTGGTTCATAGTTTTTTGTTGATTTTGATTTTCACTTTCTTATAGTTATTCATTTTCCTGGTCCCTTATTTAGGTTTTCTAGATTCCTGCTATGAGTGAGACCATCCAGTATTTTTCTTTTTCTTTCTGGCTTATTTCGCTGAGCATGATCCCTTCCAGCTCCATCCATGTTGCTGCAAATTGCATGTGTTTATCTTTTTTGAATGCTGAGTAATATTCCATGGTGTATATGTACCACATCTTCTTGATCCAGTCATCTATTTTTGGGCATTGGGGTTGTTTCCAAAGCTTAGCTATTGTAAATAGTGCTGCTATAAACATAGGGGTGCAGATGTTCTTTGGAATTGATGTTTCTGTGTCCTTTGGGTAAATACCTAGGAGTGGAATTGCTGCATCATATGGAAGCTCCCCTCAGGTTTCTTTTTTTTTTTTTTTTAAAACCCACTAAATTTTAATAAAGACACCATCCAATGAATTACGATATAATTAAAAAGTTTGCTTTAAATATTTTTTAGAGAGGGGACACCACACTTCTACTCAATTAGGTGAAACATTTTTGTAGTCCAGAGCTCTTTTATTTCTTTTTGCACACCTATCATGCCATGAATTCATAGGGAATAGGTTCTAGCAGCTCAGGCTCCTTCCCATTGGTTCTCACAAAGTGTGCTTCTCTAGGTGGAGCAGGCTGGCGCTTCAGCTGAACCCAAGTACCCTTCTCTTTGGCTTCCTTTTTCTTCTGATCATTTTCTTTCACACGTTTCAGGAAGCTATCTCGGCTCTTAGAGTGCTTAATGTGCTCAATACGAACATTAATTCTCTTTGCAAGAATCTTGCCCTTTACTTGCTTGTTTACAACAATGCCAACTGCATGCTGGGTAACATTATAGACTCTTCCGGTTTTGCCATGGTAACATTTGTGGGGCATTCCTTTTTGAACAGTGCCCATCCCCTTGATGTCAACAATATCACCTTTCTTATAGATTCGCATGTATGTGGCCAAAGGAACAACTCCATGTTTTCTAAAAGGCCTAGAGAACATATAGCGGGTCCCTCTTCTCTTTCCCTTTGTGTTAGTCATTTTGGGTTTCTTAATAGTATGCAGAGGAAAGAAGGCAGCCGGCAGACAGCAACTGGGGACCTCCTGTGACTCTCTATAGGCTCTTTCCTCTGGGCTATCTCTGGTGTGCTCCCGTGGTCGCTTCCTCTCATAGCTGTCGCTTGTCCTCTTGTAACCGTTTTCCAGTGTGCCCATTCTCTGTGTGATGCCACCCTTAGAGCCCTGGCCTCCAGGCTCAGGTGTGCACATTCATGTGTGCCCACATCATACTCCAGGTGTCCCCCATCAGGCACGCGTGTCCCGAGCCCACACGCTCAAGCGCCTCCTGCATTAGAATAATGAAGGCCACAGGTGATAAACACAGAGGCCAGAGGCGGGGAGGCCTGAACATCTTCATTTACCCTACATAGGGCTATGAGAGAAGGCAGTGTCAGGTCTCTCTCATTGGCTTGTAGAAGCATTTCTTATCTCCCTATGTCCTCACATCATCTTATCTCTGTGCATATTTCTGTGTCCAAATCCCCCCCCTTGAAAAGAGAAAGCAGTCATATTACATTACAGCTCATTCTTATAGCCTTATTTCACCTGATAACCTCCTTAAAAACCCTGTCTTCAAATAAGGTCACATTCTGAGGAACTGGGGGTCAGGATTCATCATACAAATTTAGGGTGGGAGACACAAATCAGCCCCTAATGTGGGTTACCGCCTTCTCCTCTGACCTCAGATGTTCTAGTCCAATAATCCTGAGAGGGGTAGAGTGCAGGACAGTGGTGTATGGGACAGGTGCCCCATTCAGAACAATGCTTTTTTCAGTAGGGAAATTACTCTGGTGTTAACTCTAATTCTAGAAATGAAGAATATTAACACTGACGATTTCTTGAGAAAGCTTCCGGTCTGGCCTCATCATTTTGACAAAAGAGCCCAGTATTGGAAAGAGCTTTGCTCCCAGTGAGGAATCAGGTCAGTGTTCTGATTTCAACTGCTGTGCTTTTGGGAAAACTGTATCCCGATGAAGTGAAGTATCTGGCCCAAGGTCAAGGAATAACTGGGACCATTAAATTCAGTTCTCTGCCCAGGACCTTATGCTCTATATGGATAATGCGTCCTGCTGAGGAAATCTGATGTATATTTGAACAACCTATGCTATATAACATCTGTGAGTTTAACTTTTCAAAGTTATCTTGCCCCTTAAGACAAACTGCATTACTGTGAACTATATTGGAGGTTTCAACCTCTTTCCATCAAAACATATTCCATTATGCACATTTGCTTGACTTCATAATACTTCTCTTAACTTGTTTTTTAGAACTCTTGTAATAATTGGGGCAGCAGAAGAGAAGAAAAGGCTGACCTGATAGATTGTTCCAGGCAAAAGTCATTCATTTCTTGCAAATTGTCAGAGGTAAAAAATATTCAGACACCTTTTTATCTTTTCAGACACACAACTGCAGAAAAGAGAGAATTGTGGATCAGTTCCTGCTCTTAAAAAAAAGGTAGAAAACCCAGTTAATTGTGAATTTGTGATTATATGACTACATGGCATAAAATCCATGAGATCATAAGGAGAAAGATTAATTAAAGAAAAAGTTTTCAAAGTATCTAAGAAATAAGCAAGTGAAGAAGTAATTCTCTCTTGTTAACTATCCTATAGTGCTAGCATCTAGTATAGTGCTTGGCAAATGACACGTGCTCAATAAGTTTGTGCTGAAAGAATGAATGAATAAATAAAGTAGCATGCTTACAATATAAGCAGACATTGGCAATACTCTGGCTGGTGCCTGGATATGATAATCTAATTGCAAATCTTGCTTCGTTATTTATTAAATTTGAATCTCAACGAAGCAGTTCTCAGTCTAGTTTTAATTACCAGAGATTCTTTAAAGCAATAAACCTGAATTTCATTAAAAGAATTATATTACCTAAACTTCATTAATTCATACTCTTCTTTTCCTTTATTTAGCATGGCATGGTGAAGTCTAATTTCATTGAAATGACCCAGAGGGAAGTAAGCGAAACCAAACAGGAGACAAGAAAACCGATTAAAGAAAAACTCCAATGTTTACCAGAATCTGTCTTTCTTTATGAAAGTTAAGTTTACCTAAGAGAGAGAGAGAAGAAACAAAAATATGTTTAGAGAATATAGATAAATGAGTGTAGCTGTCTTTGGGGGTACCTGGAAATTGTTAGGTAGTATAGAAAATAATTACTACTTTAAAGATAAGAATCATAAATATCTCCCCTGACACAGCAAACACCATCACCCACACAGAAGAAGTAACCTTTAAATTCAGCTCATTAATTAAATCCTATCAAAGTAGTTTAATAGTTCTTACTAAAAGTTGCTTGATTCTAGAGTTGAAATAAACTTCTCAAATACTGTGTTTTATAGGGAGGGAAGACCAGAAGGGACAGGGGAGATGGATCACGGATGCTTTGGTGGTGGGAGAACTATGCGGATGACATCTGAGGGGAGAAATCAAATACTGTCCCAAAATAAACAATGATGTAATAAGTAAGTAAATAAATAAACAAAATGTTGTCTTTTAAAATCTTTCTCAGATTGTTTATTTTAAACTTGTCTCTTATGTTTATGATTGAGCTAAATGAATGAGATGACTCTCTGTGCTTAATTTTACTGCTTACAGGCAAAACCAAAATTGCATTTCAAGGTAACACCTCTTAGTTTTGAATGGTTAACTATGATTGGCATTGGCCTTACTGGCTGGAACCTTCTTTCCCTTTCAATTAAGAGCCAAAACTGATGATAATCAAGAAGAGAATAGAGGAAGGAGATGACATATGGTTTCCTTTAACTAACCTTCATCTTTATTTTATTTAGGCATAAGTTAGGGTTTTCAGCAGCTATCACTGCTTCACCTTATTCCTGCTACCAGCACTTACTTCCATGTTTATCAGTGCTATATTCTTCTCTGACATGTTCAGCATGCTATTGCGTTTAGAGCAATTTTTTTTCTCTTTCCCAAACAATAAATATATTGTCTTTGGGCATATTCTCTCAGATTAAGCAAATAAAATTTGTACGCCTCAGTAAACCTTTGCATCCTTTATTATTAGCAATGACATTCTATTGGGCCTAATGGAAAACCACTACATAATAATTAGATTTTGTAGAGATGATAACCAGCCAGTTTTTTTTAATTGCTGAGTGTGATCTGAATATTGCATTTTACTGTAGCAAAATATTATTAAGAGCTACTCTTTATTAATAATACTAATTTTTATCAGGCACTTAGCATGTATTTGTAGTTAATCTTCACAACCCAAAGATGTAGAATCTTTTTTTTTAGTCACATAAACACAGATGAGAAAACACAGAATTCGGGTCAGTCAGCCAATAAGGAGTAATACTAGGATCAGAATTCACTCTGCCTGACCCTGAAGCCCATGGTCCTTTATTAAAGAGCTGCCTCTCAACACGGTCTGTAGTTCAGTAATAAAAACAATTTCTAATCATTTAGATTACTCTAAAATGCTTCTTTAAAATGTATTTTTCTGGAATATTAATAAAACATCCACACAATTGTGATACTTTTAATTAAGTGAAAATAAGAAAAAAAATTCAAAATAGAAATAGGGGATGGTAAAAGGGAAAATATTCCCTTCAACCACATGCCTCTGTGGCGCTTTATAAACTTGCAGTTCTTTTTGACTGCAGGCCAGAAATGAATAGGGCAATAGAAATGAAAGCAGAAGCAGATGTGGGCAAGTCTAGGTGGCCCGCCAAAGGGAAGATAATGTTTAATACAGATGCAGACACAAATATAGTGAATAAAAAGTCTTAAAGACATAGTCATCTCCATTCAGCAGACACCAAACAAATGTAAAAAAGACTCATTTTTTCCTTGGGTGACTTTTGAAAGTTCACCTCTAAGTTTTGCCATATAGAATTCCATTTCCATTCCGAATTGTCTTCAGCTTCCTTTGCTAAGCATCATGGGAGCAGAGTCTTAACTGATTGCAAATGTTTCTGTGGTAAACTTTTCCATGAGAGTCACCAGCTGGATTTGGCAGTGCTGCTTCTTTAGCAGTAAAACTTGGAAAGGAGTGATTAGCAGCAAAATCTTCCTATAGTATATTATTGTAAAACGTTGAATTTGTTTACTGTATTTGTTTAAGTGTAGGGTGCTCAAAAGAAGCAGGTAAAATAAAGTCCTAAAAAAGTACTTGGACTCTAATTCCTTCTCAGTCAGACTACTTCCAGCGGTTTAGGAGTGCAACCCAAAAGAACTACGGGTGCTTTCCAGAAAAAACAGTGTAAGTAGCCAAACCAAGCAATCTACTTAAAGTGGGCAAAGCTGAGCTAGAGGCCATTATGAGCTTGAAGCAAGAGACATTATTTCCCTTTCTTTTCTCACTGGTGGACCTAAGAATTGAGTTTTAGTAGGGAACCAGAACCTGAATAGATTTGCTGGACAAGAATCGAGCTCTTAGCAGTTAATCAGACCTGTCATCTGTTGTGCATCTTCATTAAGAATTGAAATTCTTCAAAATAAGCTTTCCCATCACAATGAAAAGACAGAAAATCTATTATCACTATTTCTGGATGCTTCTTCTTATATTTCCCAGGGGTCAAAGTCTTCATTAAAACATATAGCCATCCTCAAATTGGACTTTGCTGAAAAGCGCTTAATTATTTTAAGGCATCTTAAAAGACAGACAATAGTGTTTCCTTTACAGAGTAAAGTTGTAAACTTAGCCGGTGGTTAATTAGCATATTAGCCAAAAATGAAATATTTATCTTTTTTTCAGCTACTTTTAATCAAAGTGAACAGTGAAGTTATTCCTAAGAGAAATCTCTTTACTTGGTTCTCCTGGTAATGTCAGCAGTTTACTTCCTATTGTTCAACTTCTAGGACTTCATGGCAAGGAGACTCCTTTTTTGCTTTACCGTCAGGGAGAAAGCCACGAGCATGCAGGCAGCAATGCCTTCTGACTGGCATAAGGGACATTCTCCAAAAGCAGGGCTGGTCTCACTCATGTGGATCTGTTTAGTTCTCCCTGCATCATTTCTCACCAGTGGTATGTGGAATCCCTCTTACCTTGGGTTTTCTCCCCCAAGGCCCAAGATCTCCTGGAGACCTCCCTCTGGCAAAGACGCTGAACCTCGTTTTCCTTACTTTATCCCTTAGGGGTGAATAGTAAGGCTTTACATCTGAGGTCTAGGGCTTACCCCAGAGAAATCAGTCTTAATTCTGTTTATATACCACCTCAGCTGAGTTAATTTTCACTATTAGAGGGGGGACTTAGAGGGTTAAGGAGACTGCATTTTTTTTTAAATAATAAATTTTATTTTTATATTCCCCCATACAATTGCACATGCCCCATTCTGACCCCAATCCCTCCCCTCCCGGCCCCCACCCCCCAAAAAGTGTCTCTGGTTCATAGTTTTTTGTTGATTTTGATTTTCACTTTCTTATAGTTATTCATTTTCCTGATCCCTTATTTAAGTTTTCTAGATTCCTGCTATGAGTGAGACCATCCGGTATTTTTCTTTTTCTTTTTGGCTTATTTCGCTGAGCATGATCCCTTCCAGCACCATCCATGTTGCTGCAAATTGCATGTGTTTATCTTTTTTGAATGCTGAGTAATATTCCATGGTATATATGTACCACATCTTCTTTATCCAGTCATCTATTTTTGGGCATTTGGGCTGTTAAGGAGACTGCATTTTAAACCCACTGTTTTTAAAAGGACACCAAGTAAGTTGTGCCACAAGAAAGGTTGCTGAATAAGTGCCATCTATTTGCTCAGTTCTAGATTTAGACTCTGCAGTACCCATAAATTCCTGTGAGAATCCACCTCATGGAGGTGAGGTGGGTTTTCTTGGTGGTTCTGGGTTGACAACACCAACTGACAGACCTCTTCCAGCTCTACAGTTCATGTCATTTATATCTGTGGCACACTTTTGAATTCTAGACATGGGGATAGCACACTTGGAAAGATGAAAATGGTTAATACTAGCTTTTTTTTTTTTAAAGAACATTTTTGGAAAACTGAATAATCTTACCAAAGTTATCATACTTGTCACCCTTCATGCCTTTTTTAAAAGGAATTTTTTTTTTTAAAAAAAGATTTGTTTATTTATTTATTTATACAAGCACTGGGTACAGTCAGAAGCACGGGAGGGTGAGAGAATTCACCAGAGCCAGAGTGGGAAGCAGAACAGGCAGACTGATGAAGTACACTGCAGGCGGCAGGAGAGGTCTGCCGCCATGCGGGACCCTCCTCCGGTGGCCGGGGAGCATCTGGGAATCGAACCGGCGCTGCAGAGGCCATGGGCAGCTTCACAACCCAGCGCTCAACCACTGCACCACAGGGGAGGCCCATTTTGAAAGGAATTTTTAAAAAAACTTTTTGCACCAGAAGAAATTCTGCCTTCTGGGGTGTAGGCCAGAGGTACACAGGGAGGGGGAGCAGGGGTAAGAGGGTTCACCATAGACAGAGTGGAGAGCATAACAGGAGGATAGATTGAAACACAGCTAAGGGGAGCAGGGTTGAGACAGGAGAGGTCTGCTGTGCCATATGTGGGTCAGTTCCCTCGACGGGGATGCAACTCAGGCCGTAGACATGATGTCTGCTGAGACTTAATCCCTAGGCCACCAGGGAGGCCCCTTAGTGCCTTTTTGAATTACATTGTTTTTGGATGCTCTGATAATACTTTTATGTTCATGAAACAAGATCTTCATATGTTTCAGTAAATTCTCACTATTCCTTTCATACTAGATTGAATTTAACTTCTCATCTTTTGCTCTTGGCAAGGTACTCTCTGTTCATGATCAGGTCAGTTCAGTAGCTTACCTGAGGAACATCACCACAAGGGTACATGTCATCAGTTGTAGCAGAAATATGTTTTATATATTGAGCTAACACTGTAAGCCTTGAAGGATTTGTGCTATACCAATGTGTTCTAATTGAGGGTCTGTGCTCCAGAGATCCCTCATTTTCTGGTCCACTTCAGCTTGAGCTTGAAGAATCTGGCATTTGAATGGTAAAATCCTGTATTTCTGTGCATCTTTTCCTACCTGTTTCTTGTTAAGAAGGCCTTGAGATTTTATTCTAC